TCAGAAATAAAACAATAAAAAAATTAAGGCGAGAAAATATGATAGTGACTAAAAGAATATGAGAAAAAAAAAACATTATTAATGAGGAAAACAATAAAAGAACAAAATTAAATATTTTTAAAAAGATAACGATTGATTTTTGATTTAAATTTAAATTTTTATTAAAAAGTTGATTGCCTGGAAAGCAAAAAGGCGAAGAAAATAGTTAAAATGTTAAATTGCGAAAGAAAAAATGTTGGCATAGAACTAACGGTTACATATAGCAATTTCAACACTAGAATGATGAGACCAAGCTTACAATCCACTACGGTGCTTAAATTCGTAAAAGTGTAAGTACCAAAAGTGAAAGAATCAACAGAACAATTATCATGAAAAATATTTATAGGTGGGAAACAAAAAAGGATTTACGTTATGGTGGAAAAAAAAATATTTGAAGCCGAGATACCATAAGACTGATAAATTGCAGATATTTCTTTGGATTTTATCAAGTGTTTCTAAATACATAACATACGGTATATACTCAGATCATTAAATGAATGTTTCCAAGACTGATAATACAACGGTATATGTGTGCACCTCTAGATAACTCTAGATTATCAGAGTTTGGTAGTTGATCTCTCCTCTGATCTAGATCTAACAGCTCATTAGAGAAAAATCTGACTAGTCTCATTTAATGACTCGAAAACCAAACTAGTGACATTCTATCACCACCGAGCGAACCCTGAATTTTCACACCGCGATGAACAGGTGCTCTCTTACTACCTGGTTCAATACGCTATACTCTTTACAAAAACCAAACCAGGCCAAAAATAGAGTACTGCTGCCATATATGGGTGGGAGCCGCCCACTTTTCATTTTCCAGTCTCGATAGAGCCCAAAAATATCTCCACGTCCGTGTGGGTGATGAATTGTTTTTCACTCCGCAGCTCCTTTCCCACAAACGAAGCATCTGTGGCTATTTCCACGAAAAGTGTTCAGACGAACGTCATTCTTAAGTTCCACCACTTCTCGGCCTTCACGGCTAAAACCAACCATACTATTATGGATAAATGAGCAAGCCTCGTTCCTTGTCTTCTGTTAATTGAGATGTAAAGTTCCAAATTTTTATACTTCTTCCACGAACCACTGTTTTATGCAAACGACTCTTAAGAGGTTCCTTGGGGTCCTGGATCACTGCAGTCTTAGCCTGTTCAAACAAGAGTTGTTGTTATCTTTAGGACATATCACCATAAACTGTGACTCTTACTCTGGAACTCTCTTTTCAAATGACTCTTACCATTATATCTGTGAATTTGGATGAAAAAAAAAAAGGCAAAACAAAAGCAGAAGTACCAGTTTAGATGTGGCTGCAATTTTCAGGCATGGACGAATGTGTAACTGACCATAAAAATTTTGTCTAGCACAACACAGTGAACCGATATTCCCAGCAGCAAATCTAGCAATTGATTCACTATAATCTTTCAACTTCATGTCAGTGGAGAAGTTTAGCCCACAAGGCGCAATGAGTCACTCTACTGGAGGTTAGCATCAGCCATGCTGGTAGAATGCAAGAAATGTCCTCTAAGATGATTAAAAGTGAGCTGATTCGTTTTTGATGTGTTAAAATTAACAAGTTATTTCTTGCTCCAGTTAACAACGGATTAAAGATCATTTTTAAATTAGTTGCCAATTTGAACTGATTAAACCAACTATTGCCATTCAGGGAGGAGTAAATAGCTGTGCCATCAGCATAGATACAGAGTCAAGAACTGACGGCATTGGGGGTTGGCGTTGATGGAAATTCGAACGTAGATCCAAGGATAGAGTCCTGTAGCTAAACTCGCATTAATATAAAAATATATAGATGTGTGACCGTTCAAGACAACTTTCATGAAAAATTCGTTTAGGTGACCTCGAGAAGCGAAAGAAGACTTACACAATTTAGAGAGAGTTGACTAAAGCCTGTAGGACTTTGACTAAAGGGAGTTAAAGGACTAACAGGTTGATAGATGGATCAGATACTTCATCTTCATTGTTAAAAACAGGAACTACAAAAGAGCATTCCCAACAAGCAAGAAAGCAAGACGAAGCAAAGCATTTAATGTAGAATTTAGAGAGAAAGCGAACCAGTTCAAGGACACATTTCTTCAGGACTATTACAAAGATACTATCAAGTTCGCATGCTTTGTTTCAACCTGGATGTGACGATAAACTACATCCACATCCTGGGTAAGACGATAAACTACGTCCGGTAGCAAGGCCTCTGATCAGGAGGTTTTGAGGAGCGTAGAACCATCTCTTAATTGCTGGTGTTCTCAGGTCCACCCTGACCCGAGGTAGTGGAACCTGGCAGGGTCTCAGCTATGAGCAAATAGTTAACCCACAAAGTGTGGTCAAAACACTATAAAAGTGTAAAAATATGTTCTAATCGCAGAAATACTTGTAAAAAAAATATTACTAGCAATAAAATTTTGAAGAAAAAATTATTACCAGCAATACATTATTACCAACTATACATTTTTTGAAAAATGAAAAAAAAATACTAGTAAGGCATTTTTGAAAAAATTATTGTCAGAAATAAAAATCTTGTCGGCATTAGATAACCCATTGAGGTGTTGATATGCCATAAACCAAAACAAAAAAATCGCATGCTTTGTAAGGATCCAATTTAGAGATGATACATTTCACACAGTAGCGATTTAGTTCTAATTGGAAAATCAGGCAAAGATCCTCAAGATGAGTTAAGGGTAAAATTGGGAGAGAATTTACGAGCAACGCATTCTGCTTTATTAGCAGAAGATGATAATACCTTAAATTGAGTGAAAAGAGGGCGATAGAGGACATTCTTATTTAAGACACTACTGCCGCCGGTAGTTACAAGAAGCACGCTTGGTAGAGGCTATAAAGTCTCATTCAGTCAGCAAACAAAAGCTTAGCCTATCACGTCGGTACAGCCAGAAAAAGTGATTCCTGTGGGCTATAGCGACTGAAGAGGCAACTGTGAACAAAGTACAAGACTGTGATTTCACCTTGTAGTATTTTTGAAATGTCAAGGAAAACCAATGGCAAAATTTTCAATAGGAAGTTTTAAAATTTCACTCCAAGGGGCGCAGCAAAGAAAATCACCACCCACATATCAAAACTTACAAATCCTGATATTAGCGAGCTATTACCAATCTAAGTACAGATGTACTTAACTTTGGTGATCGTACGAGAATTGATGTTTCAACGTAATATGATCGTAAGCCCAAAATGTTCTAGAAGAGAAAAATGAATGACTTAAATCTGAAACGAATGAAACGAATTGTTACGTATTAATGTAAATTCAAATACTGTGTAATAGATTTTAAATGTTGTCATGTTATATTTGTTTCTTCTGATTAAATATTGTTCAGGTTATGGCGTCACTTTTATTGTTACTGCTTAAATGTACTTCACTTAATAAAAATTATAAGAAGAAAGCATTATGCAGAAAAATCATTATACAGAAAAAAATTATTATACAGATTAAAAATCATACAAAAGATATATATATATATATATATATATATATATATATATATATATAATAGCAGCATGGCCCGGCGTTGCCCGTGCTTGATTCAAAAATCGTACGACTCATACAGCAATCTCTATCACTTGACTTAAAATATGTTTGCCTTTCCTTGCTTTTAAAGAAGTGCCCTTTGCCGTGCTGATGTTGCTATATGCCTTACTTCTTGCCTATCTCACACTGCGAATTTTTCTAAGCTCTATACTAAACATTAAATCTGTCACGAAAAAAGAACTAAACAAAATGAACACAAAACGATCAGCTTTAAAAAAAGGACTCGTAACTGGAAAAATCGAATGAAAAAGAATGTTAACAACAAATACTTTTTCACACCCAACCCAGTTCTGTGGAATCAGAATCAATGTTGAGTTTAAACAAGCGAATGAGCCAATTGGAGTAAAGTGGCATGCAGATTTAAATTTTTCCACTTGTGACGAATGCAGTTATCGATTTTTTTTTTGCTAGCATGCTAGTTAACATTCGTGTCAGTCAGCTGTTGGCTCTCACGCTGGCCAATAGAATCTTCCTGCCTATTCGTGGCAGACAGCTATAGGCTCTCACTCTGGCCAGTAGAAAATGGCCGCAAACTACATAAAAACTGCCGTAGAAGCATGAAAAAATCGATTATTTCCACTATCGATGGGAGTTGGGAAATGCAAAGTCGGTCTTGGCCTTCCCACTAACTTGGAGCATGTGCATTTAAATTTTGGTGCAAATCCGTTGAAAATTTTGGCCGTGCATTCGTTACACACACACACACCTTTTTATATATATATATATATATATATATATATATATATATATGATCATGTATCGTATCATATTTTTTTTTTCTAATAAATAAACTATACAAAAAGTAATCTATTTATTAAAAGACATTTTAACGTTGTTATTTTATAGATACAAGTATTTAAGCAAATATTTATTTAAAACTTGTATCTATATGTTAAACGTTAAATATAATAAAAAAATTTAATAAAATAAATTTTAAAGGACCTAATCCATTTCTTAAGAAAAGTAATCTAGTTAGCATTTTAATTGCAGTAGAACAAATTATTAACACAAAATAAAATAGAGTTCATCGTAAATAACAAAGCAATTTGAAGCTATAAATAAAAAAAAATGATTGAAAATTTTTGTTCCATTTGTCCTCAATTGAAAGGTTACAAACTTTATTCATAGTAATTACACGAATACATGGCTCTGTTAACATTTAAAAGATAGAGATGAATGTAATTAACATTATAAAACTGAAATATTTTAAATTGCAAGGACAACTATTTTCAGTTCGAGAGTAAAAACTTTATTCCAAGGTAATTGTAGAGATCTTTTGTTTTTCCAAGCATTCATTTAGAAGGTCAAAGGTTAATGAAAAGCATTTTATATTTAATCATGAAACTAATATATTAATCATTTCTAGGAAAAGCAAAATAAGTAACATTTGAATTTTAAAAATGTAAGACATAAT